TCTACTATAAAATCATAAGCACTGTACATGTATAGATTTCACTCTTGTCGTATCAATATCTCGGGGAATTAAAGTGCATCGTATCAATGTGCAATTTCATTTCGGCCTGAGTTGCAAAGAAAATCATTCATTTCACACCGATTATCTGAAATACTAGTGCTGAGGCGAAAATGGAGTTTGTGATTGCGCGTTTGACTTTGCAGGAAGCGCTAGTAGTGAATCTGTTTTGTACCAGTCAAGACTAAGGGCTGGGTTACATACGGCGTACGATCGTCGTACGACCAGAACCTGAGGGCAATCTTAGGATAGTCGTGCATTTTTCCTGCAAAGTTCTGCTGTCATGTGATGGAAAAGTCTGTCTTAAATCCTTGTCAGCGGCTGGTTCTGTAACAGATATTTGGAAATTTTACGGTATCAAAATCATACGAAGACCTACGACTAATGTGACCGCACCGGGGCCGTAATGTAATATTTTCCATACATCTCATCCCTAAAATAATTTAACCTTAATCCTGACTCTGATAAACATCTCCTTACAACCTGTACCATCTGTATTATCATCATCTGAGATTTTGTGTTTTCAATTTCGAAACATTGTAAAACCGTTCGTGATCATTCCCGAAGAAGGCCCCAACACCCCGCACCTGCTACGCTATAGTTGCGTTGTGTTGATTGACTGAGGATTGACAGCTGTCCCGCGGTTTAGTTTAGTCGCTTTTGAAATAGTGAAGAGTCTTTAATGTGATTAACAACCCGGTCCCTTGCTTCAGGAAAGCCATCTGATTTTGGTGATTTTGCATTGGCACGTTCCATGCATCAATTTCTCTCTCTCTCTCTCTTTTTTTGTTCCATTTCTATTTCGTCTTCGAACTGCTTTCTTTGTGTATGCGAGCATAAGACGTTGTCCTGTGAATGGACCAACTGTGATGCTTTCTGGACAAGGTAAGATACAAGGATCGTAAGTCCCGGGTACGTCGTTCCGAGTCCCCAAACACGACGTTCCACCTACACGAACAATCTCCCTTCCTGTTTACGGCACGTCAGAGACGTGTACTTCCAAACAGGAGCACTGAGCGCCGTCTGCTCTGGGCTCCCGAGGGCCGTGAGAGTTGTAAACCAGCCCGGCATGCCTGGGTTAATGGGCGATGGGCGATGTAAGGAGAAAGGCTGGGGGCTAAATGTGAGATCGTTTGTGACGACAAACTGTGGAGTTTGTTACTTAAGTTCGCGGTGGGAGGACATGATCAAACGCACCCATGTTCGGCAAGAGACCGTGAATGACATTGTAAGTCTTAAATTGTACCCCGGGGGTACGTGAAGAACTGTTGGTATTACCTGAGTATACTCCCTTAGTGAATAAATGAAACGAAGTTTGGACAGAAGAACTTCTTGTTTGCATCGACGTCTTGTTAAAACACGTGACTGTCCTAAAAACTCATTTGTGTTGGTGCGTTTCAGCACGATAAATAAAATTAAGTCTCTCTGAATTTTCGCCTGTCCGTATTGCAGTCTTCGTCGGGTTCAAATGACCAATCGCTTAGGATACGTGACTGTGTGGACGTGTGACGTCAGCACTTGGTCAAGGATGCTTAGAAATTTGAACCTGATGAAGGCCTCAGTATGAACAGCTGGAAATGTGTTGGGTTGGAAGGAACGCGCTGAGGTTAGGTTAGATGAATGATTATCACGAGGATGCTTTCAGCACCTGTAACCAACAGGCTACAGGCGGACACAGCAGGTGGGTGTGCCAGGTGGGCAGTAACAAACCATGACTTCAGTTGGGATTTATACTCACGACTTTTTAGCCACGATTCTGGGCAAATGCCACCTTTGATCAATTAAACATAGCTCTGTCTTAGTTGGTCACATCAAAGCCTCTCATCTGATATGCCGCTGGTGAATTGCTCCACTTCAGACTGTGTGCGTAGCGCTTTGAACTTGACGTAGGAATATAGGCTTCCTTAAAACCCTTATCCACACGACTCACCGCAGGTCCAGGGTTTTCCTTTCAAGCCTACCTTGATGAAAGGTCATCCACGTTTATAACATCATCACGATATCTAAATGTTTGTACCAATGATGATGTATTCCTATTATTTGTTTAGTCGGGGACGTAGCCGTAATAACGTGGCAGAAAAACGTGGCAGCCAAAAAACTGTCGATTTTTCACTCCAACGTCTGCTTGCAGTGAGGCACGTACTCAGCGCAAAGTACAGTGGAGAGCCGGGACCTCCCCACATGCCATGTTTCCTCTCAACTCTTATTACTAAGCACAAGTCTTACGCCAACATTGCGACATTTTTCTTAGTGTTCACTTTAGAATGTGAAAATGCCGACCGGGTGCACTGTAGCCCGTGCGATTATATGGAACAACACGTCGTGGACTACTTATTCATGACATCGATATTAGGCTTCCAATACGGCAGTAGTATCGTAACAAGTTCTCATAACCCAGGAACTCAGAGAGCATGCATGTTCCATCTGATGAACTATCCGAGCGTGGCTTTGCATCGATGAGGTGTTTGCGGCTTCAGGGTGATACAAGTTCCCATGTCTTCACCACACGTGCTGAAAAATAAGACATTTACTCCTATACTATATAGCTACATTTCCTTTGCAGCATCACATTCACCAAACGTTTGGTTAATTTTTGCCATGTTTTCAAATTTCAACAATCAAAATAGTCTGGTGAAAACTTTTTATACACTAGCCATTGCATTTCCTATCATGCTACATGTGTCTCCATAACCATGTTATATGTATTTGCAAGCGGCCCTCGAGTATGTATTTGTAATAAACCTACATTTATATTTCATTTTCCCTGCGGTCTTAAAATAAGGCGTCTGTCAGTTTTACGTTGTGTGGAGGCACGAGTCGTCTGCCCCGGGCAGGCCACAGTCTTATCTCGTGTTTGGTGCAGTGGCTAGTGTTCCTGATTCTGGACCGAAGCGCCGAGGGTTACGGTCCCAACTGTCGGTACTGTTCTGAGCAGGACTGGGTGCTGTGAACCCCATTTTCCCTTCATCGCACCTTGATGTCCAGGCCGGAAACCCGGTACACTAAAGCTGGCACTGGAAACCACCTGTCTCAGTTATGTTAGACCAGTGGGAGAATGGCTTTTTATGAGCTAAGATTGGATCGAGATACGTATCCTTTATTGCACGTCCTGTCCTATCTCTGGTGGGCACGTTATTACCAGAGCTGTCAGGACTCGTTAGTTCAGACCTGTTAGTAATGATTTACGAGTCCAACAAGATCTTCCTGATAGCCCACACACTGATGGTCACATGACGATTGTTCAAAGCCTACAGCTACCTGCCTGTCGACCAATGGACGCCGGTCTCCTGGACACGTGCTCAAATATATCGTCGGCGGGAGTGAAGCCCGCAGACTTCCTCGGCAAGTTGTACATAGTGGTCGCGCCTCTCAGGTGTGACTCGCGTCCATCTAAGATGTTTCCGGCGGTCTTAAGTCTGCTGCTGCTGGTCCTGACGACGTCTTGTTGTCCCCCGGCTGCCGTGGCGTGTCCGCAAGACTGCGACTGTACGGCGGGTTCGGACCGGGGGACGGTGGTGGTGTGTCGGGGACCTGCCGTCACAACGGTCCCGGCGAACATCACCAACGGCACCGTCACACTGTAAGTTTGGCAACTCTGCTAGTACGAAACAACATTTCCAATTGCTAACCTGTATAGCATGTTTAGCTAACAAAGATGTGCACATTGGACTTTTAGTAATAGGGGAGTATCAGTAAGTACGTCGTACAGAAGTATTTTGTTGACTTTCTCTGCTTACATTTAAACCTTGTAAACACAATGGTAATCCTAAAAACGAACAGAGTGCCCCGTAGACCAGCGTCTTCAACTGCTAATTTTGGTGTACGGCACACCTAGCCTTACTTACAAGGGGCGGTGGGTAACACTCTCGTTTGTCATTTTGAAGACTGTTCCGCTAACAACGCACTGCCGGCTCATGTATGTGCAGAGTAAATACGTACGGACGTGAAGTCTGGTTTCTTGGCGACTCCGGGCTCCGGTGGCAAGGTAGGTAATGTCTAGTCGTCCGGAGCCCAAGAGTCTAGAACCAGCAAACTACTATAGCACAGCACGAAGTTTGTCCCGGAGCCGTGAGCCTACATGCCTGTAGGAGTGGGGAAATGTGGTGGTTGATGAGATCTGTGAGTCTACATGTCTGTAGCTTTCGCAGCATATTTAGTGGCGGAGTCTTGCGCTGTTTGAGTTATTTGAATTCCGGTGTTTGATCCCTTTTTCCAAGAAAGACCCTATTCTTGTTGAACCAATCCTTGGTTGAACGTATTTCTTATTGGCATGGAATAACCTTGGGACTGATGCACATCAAAACACATTGTCAACCTTTAAGTGTCATTTACAAGCTACCTGTGTACAACTGCCCCGTATTAGATAAGGTAATAAACACACACTACAAACGTCTTCTCCTTATCTGTGATTACTTGATTACTTTATTGCTGTGTTGTTGTAATTGTCCCCACGATACCAGGTTCCACCTGGCTCAAACAGGAACCCCAAACCTGAATTCCACGCTGCTTGGAATGATCCCTCTGTGATGAGGGATCTGTTTTGGTGTTTTTTGTCCTCGTTTTCTCTGCGCCTTTGTAAACTGTTCTATCGTTTAAGATCTCGACGATCGTGGAATTTGGTTCGAGTTGTGTGTTCAACACCTTAATTACAACTGGCCTGTAATCTTAAGGGGCATCTGAATTTCACCAGCACTTTAAAGTTGCCAAGAGGCGGAAGATGTATGACAAGGCAGTTACGTATACACCTTGATTTGCCATGGCCCATGAGAAACCGACACCTTTGTTTCCAACATGGTGCAGCCTCCACCATTGAATGATGCTTTGTGGCGGAATTTGCAGCAAGACTAGGGCAAGGCAGACCGTCAACACGGATCTACGGCAAACTTTTCTGTTACAGGACAGTAAAACTGTGCGACAGACCCGCGATCATCCCAAGATGCCCCCAATTAGCAGTTGGAACCTATCGTACGACAATTGCGAGAGAGCCCGTTGTTATGTGTTTATGTTTGAGATGGGGCTGTGTACGAGGGGTACCTGTTGAGCACACCAAACATCGTGAGCAAACACGGCCCTGTTAGAGGGTGCAAACTGATAAGGAGGTTAATGAGTCACGAGCCCTGTACAACATGTCCTAGACCTGTAATCAAGCAACCTTTCACCGCGCTGCAAGATTATAGCGGCATGTTGCAAGTTGAGCTGCCGTCACATCGTGAATGTGTTATCAGCCACTAGGTAACACTAGTAGCAATATTACTGCACCTGTTGACTGTGAGTTTGTAAGCCTGACGTATCATGCCAATCGACCAGAGAGCACTTCTTAAAGGTGAAACAGAATTGAGAGAAAATGAACAGTATTCCTCACAGGAAACCAATTCTTCCTCTATGATGGAGTGAGCCGTATTCTGGTCCTGTCCAATCGCTTGTTTTGATTAGACGTGTTGAAACGGGGTTGCAAATCATGACGACATTGTATGATGTATGGAAGATTACTTTCAGAAAGGAAACAGAACTAAATGATTAAAAAATGAGCATAAAAAAGACACCAAGTATGAAAGTTGACAAGGAATAAAGAAAGATCATACGGACTGTCAGTTAACAGAATTAAAGTGCTTTGACACAATCATTATAATATGATAGAAGACCAGTAATAAAACTTAATGCCCCACGGCGGAAGGATTTGGCCAGTGTTTGAAGTCTGTGCCAGCAGGACTTGTTGGATGTGCCGATGTTTCCGTTAATCCCAGTATGCAGTGATCAGGTCTGTGAGCGATCTGCCGACCACATCAGCCAATTTCTACTGAACGCCTCACAATCCAACAGGCTTAGAGCTGGCGCGGCAAATCGATACGTAACGTCGTATCCTAAACAAATGGAAGATAAAGGCGACTTAGGTGTCGTTCATAGACTGCATTGTAGAGAGGGAATTGTTTGATGAATATTCTACCAACAGAGAGGGAAATATATTCAATCACAGTTCGATATCTACTTTTAGTAGGGAAACAACATACCAAGGTAACACGAACACCACATACGTTTGGCACAACCATACGCCCAACAGCAAAATTTGTCAGACGAAGATAAAAAAAATAAATATCCTCCCTGTACATTAGCTTTGCACACACAGTACCAACCGTCTCAATGTTCTGTTGCATCGATGTCATAATAGTTTCTTTCCATTATCATGACTTTAGGCATGACGCATTAATAGTCTACTAGTCAGCGACCAGGACACCAACAAAGTCGGTCTTCTGAATAACGTGGATCACCCTAATGCACCTGTTTGCTGAGTATTTTGTGAATGGTCTACCTGGGAAGGTCGAATAAAGCAATATTTAACGATGCATGTTTAGTCAACATACAGCCTGTAATGCAGTGGACCAACACTTGATGTTTGGAGTTGGATATGTTGGGCTCAGACGTATTATGATTCGGCCACCACCGCGTGCCTGTGATACTGTTGTGTTACGTTAGGCTAGTTTTACCGACTAATACAGGTAGACCACACGTTTCATAAACATCCTTACGTAACCAGATGAACAGGTGTAGTCCTCTCAACGGTGACACCTCCCTCCTTCACATGACGTCAGCGCTAGCTGTGACGCTCACGCGATGACAGGTGGATGGTCGTAAAGAAGAAATTATAGCCTTAAATGGCATCAGAAAAGTAAGTTTCTACGTTGACACACCAAATGTAATCGACTTTGGCTTGTTTTCTGAAAACGAAAAATTGCGCTATTCGAGGCAAAGCCCGCCTTTTTGTCAGGAGTTTGGTAAGACGTGCACATGTGACAGACAGTCGCCATGTGCCGAGTCACGTAGTTCAGCACTCAATCAGCAGTCACAGCCATGGAAGACTTCATGACGATATACATGCCCCGAGCCAGCCTGTGGGACGAACGGTGCAGAAACCCAAAACGCAGTCATTTTGCCATCTGGACTGACGTTTCGATAAAGAAATATAGCCTATATTTACTGCTGCCATAAAGAAGGGATATTGGTTTACATAACATATATGACTAGCTTTTTAAACGACGTCCTGCTTTATGGTGCCACTAGAGGTGCACGGCGTCTCTAACAATACCATTATCCCATCGTTTATTATACTGAAGGGCGCCATATATCGAGCTATTTGTCTAAACGAACCTGAGTATTCACGGAGCTTTGTGTCTAAACAGGTGCATTGCCCACACAGAAACCTGCCATACATCATAACAAGTGGCTGTGTTTTTGCTTTAAACAAACACACAGGCCAATAAACGTCAGACAAAGGTCAAACGTACTCATGAATCTACAGCGGTCACATTCAGCCCGCCTGAGATGCAGCTCTACGGCGTGCCCTTCTGAAGGAACTGTAGTTACTTTATTGGCATGTCATATTCCTCTTATACGTTTATCAAACGCAATGAACGAAAAACAATGCAAACTCTAAAACTTAACTGGTTAGGTTGGAACTTTCTGTAAAGTAAAAAATAGGGTCGTATTCTTTTTGTCTGTAAGCGTGAAAAAATATAAGCTCAATTTAGTGACTTCTATAAAGAGCTCACTTATTTTGGTTCATACGACTGGACCCTTCGAGGAATGTCTTGACATTAAGGGACTACAGATCTACCGTAGCGACAGTTGCAACATTCTCCATTTTCACCAATTCACTTTGTAGCCGTGTCTATGCACTTATCAACAGAACCCCCGGTCTCAGTTCTGTTTTCCTAAAGGAGACCCCTTTACTATTCTTTATTCTTATTGATAGGTGGAACAAAGCGGCAGCAATGATCTATGATATGCCAGGTAGTCTTCATTTTCATACATTCACTTCGTATCCGTTTCTCTAAACCGGTTTTCCAATGATGCCCGGAGGCAGAGGTGTCCCGTGTACTCTATACCAGGTGTATATTGATAGCGGTCGTATCGTGGTTCCTGTAGTTTGTACACCATTAACCGTTGCTAGTATCATGTTTAACCTTCTGTATGGCAAATCACTCGACATGCCAACTTTCCTCCCCGCCGTGCTTCCCCGGAGAGTCAGCCCGACGTGACGAGAATGATCGGATCAGTGCACAGCGAACCTCACTCAGAAATATCATCATTTCCTCATTATCTTCCACCATCTGCTCTACATCAAACACAAACAGTGGTTCTGGAGCTACACGTGGAAATGTTTGTTTAAACAAAAATAAATTTAGTGTGTCATTAGGATTGTAGCCTAAACGCAGACAGATCTTGTTGTTCTCTATCGGGGACTTTTATGGCCTGATGTTCCCTCTACTCGGGACACTAGTTCGAACTATCAACTTTCATTGTTCACTATTGTGCAATTTTGCACTTGCAATTTAATACTTCGTAAATTCATATCAATCTAATGTTCAGTACCACTGCGACATATCAACTGCTATAAATCAATCTTGCATCTTGGAAAACCCAAATAAGGTGAAGTTACTGTAAGTTTCAGTTAATCTCAGGTGATGTGTTCACCGTCCACATTAGTATTCAATGCCACGTTTGAGACCGTTTGTGACTCCACCTCCTTTGAGAGTCGTTTCCTGTTTTTGTCTTTTCGCTAAGATAAAAACCCTGTGGGAGACCCTGCAGTCTACAATATCTACAAGGTTAGGTCTGATGGTATCATGGCCTTCAGTTCCCAGTAGTGGCAACATTCGGTAGTTAATATGGGCGCTATATATAAACTGTAGTCGCCTTTCTGGCTTCTGGAAAGATATCGTCGTGCAGGGCAAAGGTTTCGGTTGTCTCCCTCTGATGAGACGCCGATTCCCAAATCTCTAAGCAGATCTCTCCAAACTTGTTTCTCCGTTGATTGTATTGGAAGGCGGTGTGTGGTGTATGGATGTTAAGTAAATTCCCATTTAGGGTCGGCCACATATTCGGGCCTGCCAATAGCTATGGGTTCAACACGTAATTAATATATTAACTCTGACCGTCGCGTAAAGCGCAGGTTCGCCCCCTCACCTTTTAATATGTTCGAACCTTTTGTCGCAGGAGCAGAACAATAAAACATTTGTCGTAATGGCCTCCCTTTCTCTTCCTAGAATCCCCACGGAATATGACAGAGCTTAGCCGCAAGAGTTCGGCACCATGGAGGGATTACCCTTCACTTTAAATCCCTTAGCTGCGTCATATATCGGTCTATGGCATAAGAGGATTCATCTAATAACTGACTCAGAACTATGTTACGTCTTCTTCACAATCGGAATCTAGTGAAATTTCAATGTGCTGATCTAAAAAACAGAGAAGTAGGATTTTCGTGAACGGCAGTGAAATTCCAGGATGCCTGACAGAAAAACGCACAGAGTGAAACAAGGCTAGATGCAGCCGTATCACGCTGTTGTATAAAATCAGTGCAACAAGAACTTGCCATGTATTCCCGCTCGTGTCGGGTATTACCTACTGATGCAGCAAAGCCCGGTCTCCATGAAATATGCAGACCTTGCCGAACCGTGCGACGTTAGTGGTAATCATGACTTACGGTCCAACATCAGTACCGGTAATCACGATGTATGATTCAACGTCAGAAAAATGAAGTACTGACTTCTGGGATTAACGAGTCTTTACATTAATGGATTTTGGCTCTCTTGTGCTTTACATAACACAAGAAGTTAAGCTGCACCACGCTCTGTTTCTCAACATATTAAGTCGGCCAAAAGCCCTGATGGCGTTTGTCCTCAGAGGAGGCAAATTCATTAGTCCGCTGGAAACCGTTTACTTAGTCTTCTAAATTGCGTCCTTTTTGTGTGCTATTGAACGCATTACTCTTTCACGCCGCCCGGGCACCATGAATTAGACATGAATCACGCTGTGGAAGGAACTTTACACTTTGCTTTAGACCCATCGTGACGGCCGTGTTATTAGCCGAGCTCTTTTGTCATGTGTTCTTTACCCTGAGATCAAAGGTAGCCACGGTCAACAACAGAACTGTCGGAAATGCAGAGGTCTATCATTGCTTCTCTAAAATACCCGGCCAGGGTAGCTTGAAAGCCCATATAAAACACCATGGGGAAAATTCCACTACTTTCCAACACAAGAGAATATCTTCTGTTGGAAAGCAGTAGAATTTATTTCCATAACCAGTCAAGTCTTCATACTGTGAAAAGGGTGTTCCTCTTGCAAAATTGCAAATGATGTTTTAACAGAATGTCATTGCAATAAAAGGATCTCCAGTGCAGTATCACTGCTAATGATTTGTATGTAACGTCAGCTCACTTGGAGGCCTTCGTCGTTGAGAGTAGTGGGAATGAGCAGGTGGCTGGTCACGGATGGGAATAATCCAGTCGGCTTGTATATGTGATGAGCTCCGCGACGCTCGAAAAAAATCACGAGAGTTGCGGAGTGAAAATCCGAATGGTACCCAGCTATTGGAGGTGTGGAACAGGTTTTTATTGTTCTGATCAACTGAATGAGCAGAGCAAAAGAAATGCATGTACACAGACTCCCCTGATCACCCATCTTTGCTGCCGTCTTCGGGCCACTACTAGTCTATGCGCGCGTGACCTCGAGGACAGTAACAGGTGAAATGTGCCAGAAAGGTGCCCCCTCACCATAACTGACATTAGGTATTAGTGCCGTATCTACTTCTACATCGAAGATCTTGTGTGATTAACTTTTTGTGTCGTAACCCAAGTTTTACTCACAGAACATGTACACGGGTTAGCTTTTATTTTTTTCAGAGCACAACCGTGGTACATCAACTCTGTAGTTTGATAAGTGCAAAGGTCAGATTAGTCCCATACCAATAACCCATCGTTAGTTATCGCCATGTCCCTGCTTCCCCACCAGGGAGTTCCACCAGACGGCCATCCCCCGCCTGCCGACAGGAGGGTTCCCTGCCGCGGCGCTGAGCCGGCTCACCAGGATGTGAGTAATTACAAACGCCATGCGCACTTTCCTGAAAAATTACCCACGCTGCACGTCTCCAAATCATTTGAAACCGTGAAGCTTTGAAGGCCCAAAGTAAGTAGACATTTGAAATCCCCGCTGTTAATTTCAGGGCGGCAAAAATGGAAATACTCTGAATAAGGCAATCTATATGATATTAAGACATACTTTCCCACATTAGCACATTTGAATCAGTATTTTATACTTAAGGCATTTAAAACGAGCCCCAAGATTCATGATTCCTATATTTTTTTTGGGATGGTGCCCTTAAAATCAACCCAGGTACTTTAAGTAACCGTTGTTAGTCAGAATTTTTGGCATTGTTGCTCCATGAATGTCGATATACTCGTACATTGGGACAGTGTTGTTTCATCTTAGTATGTAGATAAGTGACTATAATATTGACTTTGAAAAATATGGTTTCCAAGCCCTAAAAACTGCACTGGATGTTAAAAGCATGCATTTGCGCACTGTCAGAATTTCTCCTCCAGTGGCATTCGCTAGGCCTGGTTGACACTTTCCCAATGTTCCTTGTTTTCTGTTTTCTTTCACTGTGTTGACAATGTACATGGACGAACTACTTTGTACTGTTAGTCGTGTATGATTTGGTGTGACATGCTGACGGCAATTCTGACGGACAACAGGTTCCATGTTCTTCACCCATTAGCCAGCCGCAAGCACGTTTTTTCAGCAGTGCCTAACACTTCAACACTGTCATCTCTAAGCCAGACCGTCGTTTGAAGATGATAGACAATGATATTGGCCAAACTGAGCGCCTATGGAGATATGCTTCAAAGTAATTTTCACTTCGATGTAACTCAATACTTCTCCATGTGCAGAAAGTTCCAAGAAGACACTTCGTTATCCCAGATCGAGCCAGGGGCCTTTGACGGCCTCCCCAACCTGCAGTACATGTGAGTACCTGGTCGGAACTTATTCTATCCATTACTGTATAATAAGAGTAACATATCATGTGCGCGTTACAGACCCCCTATCACACAACCGCCCACACAGTTATCAATCAACAGTTGGTGCAGTAAGAGGCTTCCAACACGTAACGGCTGTCAGACTTAATCTGGGCGAGACAAGAACTGGCACGCACGCAGTTTGATGGAGTACTGCCCTTTGTGATATCTAAAACAAGGCTAATCTGTGTATTCCAAACTAATCTCCAAATTGAGATTGGGGGTGGGGAGGATCTTAACGTTTTCTGACCAACGAATGGTAGTCAGGGAGGGTTGTGTATTAGAAAGTCAGCGCAGCCAGAAAACGGTATGATTTTTACTCCCAACATCTGCCAGGACTAGGAGATTGCCGCGAACTCCTGATGTCGACGGGCGCTCAGCGCGATTTGATCAGACTCATATAGCAGTGCTATCTGACTCTATGTAAAAAAAAAACTCGTCTTCTGAGAATCAAAGTAAAACGCCCTGAAGCACGCGCAGCCAAGGAAACCAAGAAAGCATGATTGTATCTTGTGATATATTTGTTTGCCCTCCATCTTAACTACCATCTACAGTGAGTTCCGGAGAGTCAGCAGCCTGCATACCCTGAGAAACTTTACAGGAAACATCCCTGCGCTGAAGAAGCTGTAAGTTTGCTTTTGTCAAAATAAAGGTTTCAACCAGTGCATGATTGTGATTCGACGCTATGGAAATAATTCCCAAAACAAAAATGGGAATGTTTCACAGAATGCAGATTCAGGCTACTCTAGCCTCTGTCATCCGGCCGATAGTTGATTTACAGAAGCCGTGGTCAATGAATGGAAACTGTCAGGCTAGGGTTGCAGTGAAATCTGTGAAATTTCATGATGATATGGCGACGTACGTTGTGACTTTCATGACGATGAAGCTACGATGTTCATTTTCCGGCAGGTCCCTCGTGAGCTGCGGACTGATATCCATTCCAGACTTCAGCCGCTTGACGTCTGCCGAGCTAACCGTGGAAATGTGAGTGGATACGGATGATGGTCCTTTTCTCTCTTTCAAATGAAATGGCCTTTTTTTATTGCCTCGTTGACGTATTTACGGGAAGGCATCACCCTGTGTGTGCTTCCTAACGGCACATTTAGTCGGCATGGAGAAGTGTTGGCAATAAAATGGCCTTTCCATTGTAAATCATCGTCGTTTGGTGAAGACGCAGCCGCTAAGCACGGGAATGAGTTGAAGAAAGACGCATTCCAAATAGCGCTCTCTGAAATGAGCTGACGTTCTCATGAATGTCTTTTTGAACCTCCTTGATGTCACAGTTTTCCAAACATAGCGTTACAGAGTGTTACATTTATTACTTTTGTTTTGTGCTTGAATTTAAACTACGATTTCTGCAAAAATGCCTTTATGTTCTGTAGGATTGAGATTAGAGTTTTTGTGTTTTGGCATAAAAGTAAAGTATGTAAACAATTATATAGCGATAGTCAAATAGAATATCGTTCACAGCGTTCACAGATGTGCCTATGTGTTTATGATATGTCCGTGTCGTGCCGTCAATAGTTCTATTATCAACTTTCCTCGTGAATTGTTTCATGAACACCTTTTTGTCGGAAATTCTCCTTCACCTGTTGCTCTGTGTGCAGACCGCTTTCTAACGGGAACCGTCCCTTCCACAGCGATCTAGAGTGGAATCAGATCACGTCGGTCCCTACCGGAGCCTTCAGCAGCTTACCCCATAACATCCACACCGTGTAAGTTATACCCGTTATTCACACTATTCCAACATTACCCGTAACATGGACAGTACACTGCAAAAGATAGGGTGACAAAGGACCCTGTAAAGGAGCAAAGATTGCAAAATTGCATAAACCGATCCAGTTTCCTTGTTAATCAGTATAATTATACACCACTGTCAGAAGCTGTGGGCAGACTTGAACATCACCCATTGTTTGTCTGGACACAAACGCCGTTCATGGAGCCTACAGTCATGGGTTAACAGAGGGGAAGATATGACCACATAAACCTAACTGCCGACCATCCGGATAAGTGGGAGTGGGAGAGTAAGCAGCTGCCAGTGCAGATCACACGGCTGCTATGTAATTTGCTTTGGCTCATTATTCTTTGCTCTTACCATAAATGCATGGGGAGGAATCTACATACAGACGCTAACTCGCGATAGTTAAGATGCCAAAGACTGAAAAAGATGGTTTCATGAAATTCCTGGTGTTAAAACCACCGTTCTTTCTCTTGTCCAGAGACCTGGAGTTTACCCAGATCCGAAGCGTGGAGTCCCGAGCGTTCTCCGGCAGCAACATCTATAACCTGTACGTCCCCAAGTCTCTGCATCTCCCCGGTCTCATGCATCGTGTGATGCATCTACGGTGATATTTCTCCCGCGACGATATCGCCGTACGTCGTAGGTTGGAGAAGAAACGGGTGCAATAGTTTAATACGAATTAAACCATTGTACCCGGTTCCCTCTCAAAATGACGACGCACGGCACGATCGTCACAGAAAACCATCCATCGTAGGTTCGTCGTTCGATGTGTGTTGCCGGGGCTTTACTCATATCCTCTTAGCTCCAGGAAGATTATGGGAGGGAAAATCGCAATCTTGTCTTGTTGCCATTTGGTTATACGCTCAGGAGGATTGCTCTCCGGTAAAACAGGTTACGGTTTCTACTCCCAGGATCAGGTTGAAAATTATGTAGCCCGCCGGTGAAGGTATTCGCTGATTACGATTGGACCAATGTTGAAGAAACAGGATTTGTGTGATCCCACTGTAATCACTTTCCATTCAAGCATTACTTCCGGTGTGATTTAAAGTGAACAGAAGTCAATTACTGCAAGTCCGGACTAGCTACGATATCCTTCTTACTCGTGGAAAGTACAATAGACAGCTTGTAGGAAACTACGGGTGGAGCAGAGTAAGCAACAGTAAGCTGGCATACACTTTCCTTTGGAAAAAAGTCTGTTTAATCATTTTGTCATTGCACACGATGTTGTGATCGGCTTATGGTGTTAGTAATGCAGAATAGATGTCAGCAAAATGCAACAGGCTCACAGTGAAACTTGGAGCTTGAAATCAACATGACTTCTGATCCACAGATACCTGCAGAACAACATCCAGCTGACGTCTCTCGCTGACGACGCCTTTGAGGGAATTAGAGAGCTGACTCGCCTGTAAGTTATCAGCACTTCTTTGAGTTCTTTTGTTTCTGACGAGGACGTTTATTACTCGAGTGATATCTAGTCATGACGTGTACTACAGGCAGGTTTTTTAGTCGTCAAAATAGACACAAAGTCATTTGTTTTTATGCCAAGTGCATGTAAAAGATAAAAGACTTTCCCTATATTGACTGTCATTTCAGCACCAAGGCCGGAAACACCCCCAAACTCTCCCGTTCTTTATGTCACGTAACAAATACTATAAAAGAGATATGATATCTGAATTGCTTTCGTGCATGTAATACATAGTTTGCTATCAAATTAAGTTTTTTAAATTTCTGTACAGTGATGGATTGTCATACGTGCACAGTTACATCAATGTCTTTCGCTAGCGTGAATGTTGCCGGAGCTCTTGTCTTAAAATCTAAAATCTGTCTCGCCTTGAAATCGAGATATTCTACGCCCAACTACTTCTCCTTTATTGTCTGGCTCCAAACCAAATCCAGCAGTGCTAAGTTGTAGACAGAGGTTTCATAAGTTCTTTGTCCAGAACTTGAAGAAACTCTCCAGAAGTGCCTAACCTTCTCTCCCTGTGGCACACATAAGAGAACGATTTTAAAAGACTTAAAAGTCCCTAGACCCTACCTTAGTACAAAGAGCACCATCACCCACATCAATAGCTGACTTCGGGGGACATGTTGAGTAGGATGACGCCCGTAACCTCTCAGCCTTGTGACTATAAACACTCTATGTCATTTTCTAGGTCGCTCTACAAGACACGATTGCACAATTTCCTGCAATCATGACTATCATTACGCCCCCAATCTCCCTCCTTAGCCGTTATTACGGGCGCTTCACGGATATCCATTAGTTCTACTTAGATGGGGGCTTTTAGACGACGGCAACTCCACTGAACAAGATTGGCATGCTGGCGTTGTTTGATCTTCAGAAAGCTACACTTCGTCTCAAGATGAACATTTCTACGACGTCTGCGCTTATGTATATGCTTACCGTGAAATAGGCTCAAAATTTCACCCGTCAAGTGTAACATATTTTCTCATTTAACGGCAGATTTATAAAAGCCTTAAACTCGATTTGCAGTGATGTACTCGTATTGCCAGGGGACGAGCAGCGTCTCCTATCGCAGCTAATCTGACAAAGGAACGAGATTACACTACTTGTGAAAGACAGGCTGAAATCAATCCGCGTACGGATCAATCAATCCGGGGAAAATGAAGTGCGTGGCCCTATCCACCCACATCTATGTGAGAAGGTTTTTGTTTGCAGCGATAAAGGTTACAAACGCCGCTCCTGGGCCAGCTATAAGTCTACTTCTTGGTCTGTAATAGGGTTCACGCCCCTGTCTGTGCAGCACGTGATGAATTGTATCACGTTCTTAGACGGGATTTACTATAAACATTAACGTCTTTGCTGTCTTTGTGGTCACTGCTACAGAATTTATCACTGGGGAGAAATATCAACAGGGTTAAACCGCAAACCATTATTAAATGCCAGAGGACTTAACTGCAAGATATCCCGGGAGACACCCTTTTAAACAACCCCGTGATTTGTGAGGTGCTCACTTTGTCTTCTGCTTGTAGAGCAAGTCCGTTGATTCCATTTTGATGGTGTTCAAATCTATCAATGGAGAGAAATGTTAACAGCTTTCAACCGCAAGCTATTTATAAACGTCATGGACCCTGAACACGTTATCTCAGCGTGCAGGACTTTTTTCAACAATACAATGATAGATAGGTAGATAGTTATCAAACCATTTGATGGTGTTATGGCAGATTAGTATGAAATACAGTGCTTTCTTTGTGCTCTGGGGAGTAAACGAGTTCACTACCATGTTAATGGTGCTAGTTACATGACATGGATACATATTGTAAACTCCAAGTGAAAGTATACGTAGATAGCAATGTACAAGGTCACCTTTATGTTTTGTAAATGCCGAAACCTTATCTAACTATTCGCGTTTTTTAATTCTTTTATAGTTTATTGCAATATGTTTGCTTAAATGCATAGCCCTTTTATAAAAATAGCTGTCATTATGATACAGTATTATCTCTATTGGCGTGCAGCAGAATGTGTTTGTATAAAAGCTGACGGTACTTATCTTACATTTGCTTTTCATTTCATCTGTCGTTTCAATCAGGCACTTGAAACACATTAAGCATCTGTTCATTAACAAAGGACATACAGATTTAGAAAAATGCAGAGAATGAAAGTACCACTGGGTGACAAATGTGCACGAAGTTAACACATTATTACAAAAAAGAATCAGCAATTTCCTCATACCTGACTTTTGTGTAAGGTTTTATATGGGTCATTTTGATATGGGTTATTTTCAAAGATCTTCAGGGCGGCTGACACCCAAATGTGCTCACAGCAAAGATGTAAACCATACCCGCGTGCTTTGTATAATTTTCATGTTAAATGTTTGATACTACTACATGTATCTCATGTTTGTTATCCTAGCGACTTGTCTGGCACGAGGATCACCAAGTTACCCACCCTAGGGCTGCGGGCCCTGACGGTCCTGACGGTCAAGGACACGCCAACTCTCAAGGACTTTCCCGCCATCACCAACTTCTACCTGCTACAGGAGGCGACCCTGACGTACGCTGCGCACTGCTGCGCCTTCAAGTAAGGGCAATGTCGTAGAGCAGCGTACATTTGGTACATTCGGACCGATATACATGTACTTGACTTGCGTCCATACTGATTCAGTGTAAAGTTCACAACGTTTACGGTAGCGATTACGACAGAAATAGGAATTAGTCTGTAATATGTTGTATTGGATGATGTACCAAGTAGTTGACTATCGCTTGACGATCAATCTAATGGTGGCAAAGGTTAGAAGGCCCCTGTTCTTACATTTATTTGAGTGGTCAGCGAAAAGTTTCAAAATCGTTTAACTTCTTTGGCATTATCTGTGGGTGATACATATTGTTTCATCGATTGAAGACATTTTACTGTTTCCAACATCTCTACGTTCCTGCAGGTACCAGAGAGCAGAGCTGCAGCAGTTCGGCACACAGGCGGGTACCGTGGCAGCGTGCGTCACCACAGCCACACCGGCACCACCTCAGGGAATCGGTGAGGTGCTCCCCGGGAGGAAACGAAGGCGTGTAGGCGAGTCATCTCGAGCCGCCACGTTCAACCCACTCTGGTCTGCCGCCCCGTACTCAGGTCGTGGCGGGTCGCCAATGAGGACAGGTGGGGAGCGTGTGACTTTTCCTCAGGGAACTACACATACAGAGAGGATTCGGACAACAAGAGACGCTGACAGCGGTTTAGCAGGGCCAACCAGCCGCCAAACAAGCACAGAATCTGTACATACTCAACAGACCTCAGACGGGGGAGGGTGGCCAGGAGGGGGAGGGTGGCCCGGGGATGGGGGTTGGCCAGGAGGGGGTTGGCCAGGAGGGGGTTGGGTGTCTCCCATACCGCCTATAGACCAAAATGTAACGGGGGTGAGCTGCGGGGACGTGGTGGACCTGCAGGAGGACTTCACGTGCCGGCCCGAACCCGACGACTTCAACCCGTGCGAGGACATCACCGGCTACGTCTGGCTGAGAGTCATCATCTGGTTCGTGTCTCTCCCCGCCGTCTTCGGCAACCTGCTAGTCGTGTTGGTGCTGCTGCTCACCAAGACCAAGATGAACGTCGCCAAGTTTCTCATCTGCAACCTGGCCTTTGCGGACTTCTGCCTGGGGTTCTACCTGCTGATGCTAGCGGCTGCAGACCTCTACAGCTCCCATAGCTATTACACATGGGCCATCGTGTGGCAGACAGGCGGGGGATGCCAGGTGGCCGGGTTCCTGACGATGTTCGGCAGCGTCCTGTCCATCTTCACGCTTACCTTCATCACGGTGGAGCGCTGGTACGCCATCACCCAGCCATCCACCTGGACAAGAGAGTCACCATGCGCGTTGCAATTCGGGGTGATGGGTGTTAGGGTGGATCATAGCCATCGTCATGGGATTCCTGCCACTGGTGGGGGTCAGCAGCTACTCCTGGACCAGCATCTGCCTGCCGATGGACACGACAAACGCCGTTAACTTGGGCTACGTCGCCACGATCATGATCGTCAGTGTGCTGGCCTTCGGCCTTATCTGTGGCTGTTACATCGGGATGTACTGTTCTGTGAGACACACGGATGGGGCCTACGGCATAGAGGCCAAAAAGAATGACGCTAAGGTGGCCAAACGGATGGCTATTCTCGTCTTCACTGACTTCGCCTGTTGGTTTCCCATCGGCCTGTTTGGCATCACCGCTGCTTTCGGGCACCCTCTCATCGATGTCACGAATTCTAAGATCCTCCTCGTCATTTTCTACCCGATCAACTCGTGCGCTAACCCGTTCCTGTACGCCATCTTCACGAAGACGTTTCATCGAGACTTGGTGACGACTCTGGCGCGGTTCGGGTTCTGTCAGACAAAGGCCATGCAGTATCGCGGCACCATGTACTCCAACACCGCGTCTGTCGCAGGACGCCACAGCCAGACCATGAGTTCGGTGCATAAGGTCTCGACAAAGTGCAACCATTCTCACGCGTCCTTGAAGAGCCAGTGTGCGAGCTGCTCCACTCCGAAGTCAACACGGGCCTTGGCCAAAACGTCCATACCCATGACATCTCTCTTCAAAAGCCCAAGTGGCAAGAGCACTCAAGCTGTAGAAATAAACCACTCCGCCATAGTTAATGGTACCTCGAAAAACGTCAACCCTGACAGTAACCAGACAAAAGACACGAATGACAAAGAAAAAGCTGCCAGCAGGAAAAAATTGAGTATTGTAAATGAAACGTCCGAAGGGACGTCAACAGCCGAAGACTTGACTGTGGGGAAAGAACCGAAAGAACCGCCCTCGGTACTGTCACGAGAATCCCGAGAAAAGACAGACTCTTCAGACACAGAGTCGGAAGGGTGTAGCAGTAGAAGTAGTTCTAGAGAAAGCATTCCAGAGAAACCTCCACCTATCTCTGTGAATGGTGACGAGACCATAACAGTATCTCTCCCAAAAACATGGATATAATTTGATAACGGTATACGAAAAACTTCATATACAGTCATTCCTGTACAAGACCAAGAACTTGCCGATGAAATACAGTCAACCGGGTTGCTTTGAAGAAGGAAAGTCATTCGAAAAGTTATATTAGTATCTTGGTGGCTATCCCAGTGCGCAAATGACACGAGCTTCTTTTTATTATGTAATGTATTCTGGTCTCTTTATTTCTGTCATAGACTCATAGCTAATATCTTTGTCTTTAAAATTTCTGTTGCCACAATCCACATTCAAAGTACACGTAACCCGTGTTTGTTGAAAGGCATAACAGGATTAATTTCAGGCGTACTTAAAGAATTCTTGAGACTGCAAATTATCAAAGACTCGGGCCGGAACATCAAGATTGGTTCGTTAACGGTCTCGCAGCATGGCAGGACGTCATTACCAACTGGGAACTGTTGGAAACTTCACAAACCCAACCGGACAGCCAGGTTTGCACCTTGACGTGTGCTACTCTTACCGAAACAATGCACAGAAATTGCGATTGTTGAACCCAGTGCCAGTCCCTATGATCACCCCCTCCTAATTAATTTGTAGTTTTATTGGACCGTCCGAAAGTCTCCACTGATAGAGTAGAAATACCAAATAGAAACAATTAATGAAACAGATGCCGGTGCTATTGACTATGATTAGTGCTACCGATGAGGCAGTGAAGTCTCATCAAGCCACCCATACAACCCCTGTGCAGAGATGAGAGAAGGTACAAAACAATTAATATTCATATCAGGCCCCGAGACCGGTGTCCTCTGCAGTAATTACCATCAATGCTGCTAATGACGACTCAAAATCTTGTGAAACCAGCTGAACATCCTTATGAGTGATTATCAAAAACTTGTCGCTGTAAGTACATACGAAAATAACACAAATTGTTTTTCAGACACTACCCTGTTATTATTCTGGATGAACAGACGTGTCATGTTGGATTAATGCAATAATTAGTGCATGTAAATGATAACAAAATGTCCCATCCAAACTTCCCAATGAGTAAAGATGAGACGTTGCCGCTAAGCCGCTCGAGGAAAACAAGCTCGCTTCTCTGGAGTCTTTACTAGCTCGTGTTTTATGCAGTACATGAATATTTGCCTATGCAGTATTGAGAATTCTGAAAGTGACGGGAACGGACTGACCAATCAAGCGTTCATCATTCTGTACGAAACACATATGGACGGGAAACCGTTCATCATTCTGTACGAAACACATATGGGCGGGAAACTTGCCACGCAGCCATCAGTGACATCAGTGTTACTCTACAAAGAATATAGCAGCCTGAGTATTGTCTTTGACCTGTCAAAGGCACAACCAAGCCAGCTTTATGAAATATGGAGAACCGTGTGCGGAATTCTAGATGTGTATGGACATTACATCTGTAATGCGCCAGATCATACTAGATGCTATCATGGAATAGAATAACCTAGTCTAGCACATTCTTCATCAAAAGGCCGAAAAACATGTACCGTTTCCCAATGCATCACTTACCGGCCTTACAGGGGGTCGGGAAATCTAGACGCCGAACCTCATGTTCAGGACACAAGAGATTTCATTCGATTAATTGGTCATCAATATTTGACTAACGTTATATACAGCGAAGTCAATATAACCAGATACCATTTAGAGGGAAGCTATCTTCCTAACGGCACTGACGATTCATTGTAATCCATTATCGTCGTGCTAAGGAGTCGTTGGAGACACATGCAAACCTTAACGACCGTTTTGTTTGCACTAGAATGAAGCGTGAAGTGCCGAGCACGCTTGATTGTCTCTTGTAGTGTACCATTATGCCGGGTAAGAGATAAGACAATATCAAAGTACAACAGATGAAATTTTATAAGAGACCCAACAACGAAGAGTAAAGCTGCTGGACGTTCCGGCAGATGGACAAAAACGATAATCACTGGGTGGGCTAAGGGGATTTGTCTTCTACCTAGGATGGTGCTTTTTAAGAAAGATGAGGTGTGAACAAGCAAGGCCCAGATGAAGTGATTGTGTGAAACTGATCTGCTCCATGCGTAAGGCCCGGTTTCTGTCGGGTTCGTACTGGAGAGTTCACTAGTTTATCTCACAGATAGGATAATCTCAAGTTTCCGTGGAATGTCTATGGGAGCCTGATCTTTTCTATAGTAAGTCGTCATAAAGTATAAAGACGTGTAAATAGACATGAAACCTTGTAAAGTAATAGATAAGTAAGCTACACCACATATATATGTGTGTATAATTGAAACCGATCGCTAGTTAGATTTTGACCTTCACGGCGCGACTTTTTGGAGCCCTCACCTGTGTATTTATCTATCTGGTTCGACTCCTCGGTGTCTGTCAACTGCTGACATCCGGGTAGTACATGGATACGCACTCTACATGAGGAGTACTGTGTATATCGTATGGTAGTAAATGTACGTACATGTAACGTTATAATTATGCACTCGACATGAAGAGTACAACTAGTACTGTGTATATCGCCACGAAGATATCGGAAAACACTGTACAGTGAATCTATTGACGTGTGTATGTATAGTATAAATATTACATATAACTAAGAAAACATACCTGTTAACTGTATCATGAAGAAGAAAGGGAAAGTATTTCATAGGTCCGTTTGTTAATTTGGTGCATTTGTTCTTGCATAGGTAATGCGTCTCAATATGTAAATGTATGAAGAGTACGTGCAAGCGCCATGTCAGACTTTGTACGAGTAACGTTACTTGTTGTTCGTGCACCCAGGCGTACGCTGGTCAGAATGTTGTCCCGTTAACGTTCTGTGACTGATGTAACTGAGTGAGTGACGGATGATATCATCATTACAGGTTATGAATTTGTTGTGTCTCTGTGTATCCATGTTGTATATTATTATAAACATTCGGAAAGTAAATGTACTTCATCGTGAAACCCCACGTCACCTCACAGCCACACCCCATACCTACTGCTGGAACCCCAGACAGAAGGGTCCAGAATTTAACCACTCTCTCCTTAGACAAAACCTGCCCATGTTTGCAGAAAATAAAATTACATTCGGACAGAAGCGAACTAGTTAACAATCCGACCACCGAAAACAAGAAAACATAACCCCAGCCTTCCCGGCGGTAACAAGCGAGGCATCTGAGCTGGGTTAGGGCCATGTGTCCGTACCGTTTTCTTTCTCGTACCACCTGTTGTTACCTGTATCTTCCATGGAGAAATTCTGTTCTCGGTCAGTGTTAAAATCGTGTCTTTCATCGTGGGCATTTTGCGCATCCCCATGCCCAGAAGGAAACAGGCATAACCGACAAAATCATGTCTTAGGGCACAGAAAAGAAAGTCATTAAAGAAGCACTATAATATATCTTATGTACCGGTAATACCATCATTGTCCTCAGGGTTATCTCAACTCCCATCTGGCTCAATCCTAATATAAAAATGGTGGCCCCGATCGCCAGGCAATCTCAGCCATGAAAGATTGGATGATTAAAGTAAATTATACGGGAAAGCTACATTTAGTTTACGCTTCGGGTGCAATGTGTTGCTCACAAAGGCTTATACATTACTTTACTAGGAACAGGAGAACAAACTAAACGAGTCGCAGGCCGAGTGATGGATAACCGATCCTAATCTGACATGAATCACAATTCCATTACCTCAACTAAGTCTCTCTCTAACCTCCTTGACTCAACTGACAGAGGGTACCTGAAATCCATTGCTACTCATTGAAAGTCGCGCGCACACAGAATCACAAACGACATGGTCAGTGAGAACTGATAGCGTCGATTCGCAGAACATAATGTGAAATCCAGTGCCAGCAATCAAATGGTAAACAACCCTTATTTATGGGAAATCACTTCTAATGCAAAGAGCAGCCACCCGTTCATATGGGGGTTATCATCGAACCTTATCTGATAAATGTGCCACCCATGCCTAGTCTACAAGCAGATCTTTTGGTGGCTGCAAAGACAGTATATACTACTAGTATGTATTTGATATATCAAATTGGCCAGGCTGTATCCAGTCTGCCAAGACGCTGCAACCTTCGAGACATGTCTCGTTGTTACAGGCACAGTTATAATCGTGTTCTGTCCTGTCAAATCCATATGAATGCTGCCTGGAGCTGCAAGCCATACAGCTAATGTGATGTTATCAGGTATCAATCATACACCTGTGGGAAATATGAATAAACTTTATTACAACTTACTGCCAGGGGGCCAATTGTAACAAACAGGATAACGATGAAAAATCAAGTAGTATAATGTATGAACAGCATCAGGAAGGGTTCGGCGGCTGTTGGGAGGGAGACGGCCTGCGGGTCCGGCGCCCAGGATACATTTTGCAAGCCGAGGTTGGAAGATTGTGACTTCCCTCTACCTAACCCCGGGCTAGGGCGGTTTCTAATCGGCCCGCTAGCGACAATAGTCCCGTATTCAAGTCCAACCGGCCCACGCAGATACGCCGCCCCACAGTACGAGTACCCGTCGCCCGGTTGGATTCGATTATGTCTCTCATGAGAGGGCAGTAAAAACAGCGGCCAAATCCCGCGATTCTACCAGAATAGTCTTCTGTAAAAATGTAGAAGTTGGAAATTCAACTTCACAGATAGACCCTGCACGCTTTACTGGACTAGTGTAGTGACTCAGGAAGTAGAGGAAGATGGACCTATTCAACGTATTTCCCATATAAGGCAACTTTAATGTGTGCTCCACTGAAATGAGACAGCCAACACTTAACAGTACAGTATGGGAAGTTAACAAAATATAGAGCTAACCCTCTTTCGTTACTAAGAATACGTTTCTGTTGTATAAGTCAAATAGGGTGTGGCCTGTTCTGCAGATGCGGGTGTGTGGTTTACAGTACCAGCAACTTTTGTTATACAAAGGGACCCTTCAAATACAGAATCAACAAACCAGCTGGCCAGAGGAATGGCAAAGGTGCTTGGGTCCTACTTGACTTGGACATAAAAACACAACTATTTAAAAGTTTCTGTAGCTACTGTTGTTTTAACAGAGTTACACCCACTGGTATAATAAGGTTTATCAAAGCTGACACTGGATTAAGATGCACAGATCTGATTAGAGGCCTAAAAGCAGCCATACTCTGTACACTAAGCAGTTTTGTACCAGTTTGCTCCACGTGTAATGTGTATTTTGAAACTGTGAATTTCATTACACTTCATCAACATGTACAACAGCAAATACATGTATTTGTAGGATCATACCTTTGCACAAATATCAATGACCAAGTCTGTCTCCTTAGCTCTCTCTTGTTCTTCTGAGCCTTGTTACAAAGATATACATGTACTGCCTTGCTATTTCAATATTTACTTTCAAGCTGGACACTGGAAAGGCACCTGATAGCTACACTGTTCTACTACTTTGGTGACTTGAAATAGACACAATAAACATAAACAATGACATATTTAATGCTTAACTATGATGTTAGGACAATAACAGCTAATAATAGATTATCAGAGCTTGAATTCAAGCTTTCATATTAGCTGCTGTAGGTGTAATTCTTACCATTACTGGCACACAGTACTGGTCTTAATACAACAATAAATATTCTTCTTTCTTGCTCATACGACATCAGAGTGTCTGCTTCCTCTAGATGTTTTAAATTCTTTTTTTCAACCACTTTCCTTTCCATGAAGTAAAGTATGAATCTTATCATTAACACACGTGTACAACTCATGTCCATGTTCATTTTCAGCCAAGAGACTTACATTTAACTGTAGAAGCAGAGGTACACAATACAAAAGCTACATGTAGATGAGTTGTGAAAATCAATGATGAAATCAGATCGGTTGGAGAAGATTCTCCTTCAAAAAATCATGTTCATTTGAGTGCTACATCTAGATTGCTACAGGAATAAGCTTTTAATAAGTCTGGAGATAGTGGATATCCAGGATTAAGCTCAATGGGAATGGTGTTCCTACAACAGTATTCAAATCCAAACAATGTTTGCACCATGTGACAATGCAGTAATAGTCCATTGTGCACCGCTTAAATCACAACTTTAAAACTTCTCCATCCACAGACAGCCATTGATATAACACTATGCCTAATGGGGACAAAAATTCAATACAAGGAGCACCCCTTATTTGTGTAGGAATCTTTGCAAATCTTTCGACAAGAGTTTGTTGCTAAGTATTGCCTTAAAGGACTGACTGATATATATATATATTGCCTTAAAGGCTACCATACCCCGGAAGTGCTACCATAAAAACCATGGTGAAGTACAAAGTATATTGATTAAGCACAAAATTTGCTATAGCAAAGAAATATGAAGATACAGAGCCAAGAATTTCCTTCTGTGGAGAGCATGACAGAATTCTGATACATGTAGTCTGCCCCACTCCCACTCCCACTACCATTCTGCGTCTCCTGTAGCCTTCTGGAACACGTAGTCTTTCCCACCGAGGTTCATAATGCCGTCCTTCAGGTGAAACTTCCACTTGTTCTTGCTGCGGTTGATCTGTGAAGAGAAAAATTACAAAAACAACTGATGAAATATGTATGTCCTTTTTCAGTGAAGAATAGTTTGTTAGGAGTATCAAAAGTGTTTCACTATTGTGAAAGAATGCATTGCTACTACTAGTACTAGAGGACACTAAGAAATTCTGAAAAGCTGAAGCTGAAAAACACTGTATGCGGAGAAATAAAAGCTACTAGTCATTTGTCCCTAAATAACCTTTCAAATCAGGGGAAGAGTTGACAGTCTATGAGAAGATAGGGTTGCAATAAGGTCACTCACTCTTTCATACTGACACACCACCACATTGTCAATGTCAAACAGGTCAGTGGGGTCATCATCGCTCACGTCGTCTTCTGAGTTCAGGGGCTCCTGGAGATAGCAGGGAAATCATTTCAACAGTCCATATATATAACGTTAACCTTCACAAGTGTCTATGCCAAATGTTGCTATGTAACAGTTTTATTAATTTCATCCTCTACAGCTTTTTGCAACAGCCATTTCAGTTTAATAATGT